TATATATATATATATATATATATATATATATATAATTGCCTGTTTGTGGTTAGTTGGTTAAAGAGACAGTAGCAGTAACGCAGGTGTTCTGTTCACACCAAACTTTAGTTTGTTTGAGAGACCTGAGACAACAGCTATCTTTGCACCTCCTAAATCTGTTGTCACACTTTTTTCTTCCTTGTCACATGCTCCTGCAAAGCAGAGGCGCTGCAGCTTGGCTGCCTCTGAAGATAAAACACGGCTTTGAAAAGATTTTGAGGCAGAGCAGACATGCCACAGACAATCTGCCTGTTTGATCCATGATCAAAAACATAATATCAGAAAAGTCCCCTTCTAATTCTCTCACATTCTGAAAAGACAGATATGAAAGCAACTCACTAAGTCTTTTGTCATTTATCAGGATCTCAATCTCTCTCTAAAGTGAGTTTCTCCTTTTGAAGACACTCCCCAAAATGTGCTTTAATTCTCTGTTCACTGGATCATATGCTGGAGCTGCACTCATATAATGTTGCTCACTGTGTCCGTCTTCATGTCAGTCACAAGCTTCTTTTGCAGTTCAGCTGATTGCATGTTTGCATTCCCTGGAAATCAGGCTTTCAGGCATCTCAGCACACATACATGAACTTTAGTGCAATTTTTTGGGGGAGAATGGAATCAAATGCACAGAGACAAGTCAGGAGACACAACCACTCTTCTTTGCATAGATCGAGATAAATCACAATTTAAAATCACATTTTGTTTTTCACCACACTTCACACGTCAAACTTTACCATGTCTTCTTTCAGCTCTTGGTAGCTTTGTAAAGGTCAAACACAGTTTCACTTCCAGAAGTTACGTTTCTCCTTAGGTTTGCATACTGCAGAGCATGTTTGCAGGAAGCGTGTTGGTTTTTGTTTTTGGCAGAAGATGTAAATATACACAGAGTTTAGTCACAAGATTAAAACCACCTGCCCACAACAGGATTGTTGAATTTCTTTTCAAATGTTTCTGACCTGTTGCTGAGCTGCACACAAGGGACTCTGTCTTGTGGTATTGGTCATGAGTTGCATGGTTTTACCTTTTTGTCTAGCTCCAGGACTTTTATTTTTCTAATGGGCTTTGTGCTATATTCTATATGCACTGCACCACATATTTAATGGCATTAATCAGATGTATCATTGTAGAAGAGGCTGTGAATGCAACATGGTCTGGAGGCGTTTTTTTCTTTTCTTTTTTTACTTAAAAAAAAAAGAACATCCACAAAAATGTAAGAGTCCAGTGTTTTCCAACATGATGATTGCACTGTAACAAAAACTTTTCCATTTGATGTTTCTTAGCTTCTGTTAACTTCTTGGGCTTCATGAAAAGCATAAATGGAGCCAGGATGGATCAGAGTGATGACAAACGTTATGTCGAGATGCATCGATGAACCTTTCAAATAAGTCCTCGTTAGGCATAGATAAGACCAAATGAGAGAAGAAAAAAAATAGGGAAGAAACATTAATATGATGCCTCACAGTTTTTATTGTACTTTTGTATTACTTATTGTATTGTATTTTACTAAGTGTTTCAACTCTTCACCTTGAAAAAAATCAGTCACATCCTTTTCATTATTTTGAGTTTCTAGAGTTCCAACTTTCATGCTATTCTGACTATCTTGGACCATGTTGTGTATTTTCTTTCAGGTTATGATGTGGTACATAAATTTGGTGCCACTTAGGAAAGAAAGGAGTTAAGCTGCAGGACTAAGAAAAGAAAACACTTGGCCCTGTCACTTGCCTCTTGGTAAAAATAACATCAGCTAATCACTTGTTGCAGACTGGCATAACATTCAGCTTGTAAAATATGATTAGTTGAATTTATGCTGCCAGATTACGAGCTGCTGGAACACCGTGGGTGATCCCTGACGTCTGCAGAGCCTGTGCTCTGCTTTGACACCAGTACTTGATCAACCCAAAGTATTGGCTGGGCCTGATTCAAGGTCACATGCTTGACTGCATTAGCCAGATTCAGTTTGGGAGGACAATGTGAGACAACTGTGTCCTAACTCTAAAAGTGATGTTAGGTTAAAACGATTAATCCCCCACCCCCCCTCTGCATTTATTCATTTAATTACTGTGTGAGCCTAATAAACTGTGTTTTACAAGGTAACCAATTGTGCATAATAAATATTGTAGAGTTGTGCAAACAATGTTGAAATAATGTCTGCAAGCAATACACAAAGGGACATTTGATGTTTGTACCCATAAAAGTTCATACAAGTGTTTTAAAAAAACAACAACACAACTTTAAAGTACTTTTTTAACGTTAGAGTAAAAAAAAATAGCTTTATTGATAACAGTTCATGCAATCTTTGTTATATTATGCTCACTAAGTGTGTTTTCACACTGATATGCCTCGTAAACGATTTTGGATAACCTCCTGTTTTTAAGTAATGTTCCTTGGAGAAAAGCCATGAAGAAGACCGCTATTGAATTAAGGGTGAGCTGTTTGTTATCATTGTGTTGAAGCAATGTTTATTGGACCATTGCGGCGTTATAAGCCAAGCACTTTAAAAATGAAAGACAAGTTTATAGGGGATAAAGTAAACTGGCGGATGCTTTAAGAATGAGCACGGTGATTCTCCTCTGCAGCGTTTAATCAGGTTCAGATTTTTATTTTCTCTCTCTTTTTTCTCAGCAGTATTTACCAAAAAATGGCGGATTGATTTTTATGACACTCATTTGTCTCCTCCTCTGGCTGCACCCTCCCTGTCCCACCCCATCATTATGGTCTTGATGACTTATCTTTTTGTCTTTCAGGGGATGACATTCTTCATCTCTATGTGTGTCTCTCTCATCAGTTCTTAAAGAGAGAGAGGGGGTGGGGGGGCATCAGGCGGCCTTTGAAAGCAGCTGGCAGCCAATGAGTGTTTGATCCTCAATGTCACATAGGCCTGTACAAAGAGACAAGCTGCATGAAACATCTGTAGGAAGGATGGTAACATTCTGACATTGATTTTCCCATGCTGTATTTTTGTTGTTGTTAAATGCTGGTTGCTACACACTCAACTGTGTCATACCATGCTCTGGAGTGTCATCCCTAACCAGTGTTGGGATAATGATAGAGCTGGATCACTGCTCACCAGCCCTGCAGGAACTCTGAGGAATGCCGGTTGCTAAGGACGGGCTTGTGCTGGAAATCTACGTTGATCATTACAGTAGCCTGCTATGAGAACTATGGGAATGTTGCATGACTCTGTCTTTGAGGCCATGCATTTAAAATTTGCAGTCCTGTTGCTAAAACGGAGCATTTATATATATATATATATATATATATA